CCACCTTGGGCATCTTGATGCTCAGTGTAAATCCTTCTATAGAACAGAGGAAACTGGGGGTGGGTAGGTTGTATGGCAAAAAAAAAGCTGACATTCTCAGTGTCAATATAATGGAGTGTGCTGTCATGATATCATATGCCCTCTCAGAGATTCTGGAGATCAAGAAGTGGTAGGGTGGCTTGTGGCAGTCAAATCTTCTCTTTGAGATGATTTCCTTCTCCTGCTGAGGGGTCAATAGTTTAGCCCTCTTGCCAGTCATGCCCTTTATCAGTTCCTTCAGATGCTCGCTTATGGTCATCAGGTCTGCTGCATTACTTCCCTGCCAGTCTCTTACCCAGAGCTTAGAGCCCTGGTCGGACTCAAATATATCCCTTTGCTCCAGCAGTAGGTTGAACCACAGCAGTGTAGATAGGTGTATGGTAGGGAAGCCTCCTACTGGGGTGGGGGTGCATGTCAGATTTCTTGGGAGTCATGGGGAAGTGCTCATTCTAGTGGCTGTTCCTCCCATGCTGGATAGTTGTGTAAGTGGGGGTTCTACTAGTGGCCTCATTTTTCTGCTCACTATCCAGGGGGGGTTGATCCTCCCCCCCTGTGGCTGGGTGCTATAGCTCTGTGGTGACAGGGAGTCTCTGAAGTGTCCAGACAGAGTGGGCAATGATAGGTACTGGGGGTCAACCAAGGTGTTGTCCTCATCTAGTTCCATGTCCTGGGCTCACTGACTGCATTCTCTTTCAGTGATTGTCTGCCTGTGTCATAGGAGTAGCCTAGTGGGCCATGTCAGCTCATTTTAGCCTGCATTTATTATAAGGGTTCACCAAGGATATATTGGTTACTTTTTGTTACTGTATATTAGTTTTGGGCCTCATGTTCTGGTCAGAGCATGTCTTCATGAGAATGTGTTCTTGCAGCCCTATTGGGGTTGTCTCCATTTAGGGTCTATCATGAAAGTTCTTTTTTTTTTTTTTGTACTAGGAGGGTTGGAAGCACTATTGCTGCCTCTGCAGTGTATAGCTCTGAGAGCTCTTCTCCTCAATAGTCAGCACTTGGGCAGAGGAACAAGGGGAGGCCTGACATCTGCTTGCCAGGCAGCTTCTCTTTTTGAGGAATGTGGTGTGCATACTGGCCCTAGGGCCCAGTAGTGGCTACCATGTGACATGGTGCATATGATGGTTTGTGGTCAAGGTGCTCCCATAATATTGAGATCTTCTAGAAGTGGTGACATCACTTAATTGTGACATCCAAGATAAATGGCAAGAAGAATGTTCTTGCAGCAGATCTCTGTATTCAGATGTGCCTTGAGAGCTTTCAGCTCCATCAACAGTGCAGAGAGTACACAGTCAACTGGGCTGTTATAACACACAATAGATAGTTCAGAGAGTTAGTTCAGCTGATGAGTGTTCTACAAAAGTACTTATGAAAGGTTAAAATCAAGAATTCTAGGATGCTCTACCTATTTCAGTAGATGACATGTGACCTGGATCTTGGTTTTGCAAGACATTTGACAAAGAGCCCTCACTTAGTTGCTGCAAGATTGTAACAAGCACCAAATTGGCTGGGGGTTGGATTTTTTTTTAGATTTGCCATGTTAGAGGGTTGAAACTAGCTAGTCTACACTAGTAGTCTAGAAAAAAATGATCAGAATCTTTACTCACAATGACATCTGAGAAAAAATACTTCAGGATTGCTGCTTCTTGCACCTGTGCCATGGCCCTAAAGATCAGGAAAGAGGTATTTGCACACCCATCAAAGACTCAGAGCCCAAAATTGACATGTTTGCCTCTCATCACCAATTGTTCTTAGCTCAGATTCTGAATCAGAGATAGCATGGCAGGATAGGGTCAATCATTGGAGCACAATGGATGATGAATATGAGACAGACTCACATGGCAGTTCAGAGGCAGCATCAGTCCCAGTCTCAACGATCTGAAAATGGGCACACAGAATGCACAGGTGGATGGATGCATACTGTGAGGGTTTCAGAACTCAGGATGCTCAAGTGTGCATCAAACAATTCAGTTCCACAAAGCATAAATTCCATTGATATGTTTTTGAAACTGTTGCTTGGGGCTGATGTGACATGTCTGGAACTGGAGGTGAGTTATGTCACAATTGGGATATAACCAACATAAGTGTATAGCCACCATTATATACCTGTGTGTCTATCTTATGTATCTGCAGTTTTCATGCAACACACTTTCTTTGAAACATGTTATAACATGAGATCAATCATGGTGGTGCCTGCCCAAGTGCAGGTAGACTGCCAAAAAACCTTCATCAGCAGCCAAGGCTCTTCACAAGCAACTTTGTTTCAGAACAGGCTCAGGGCAACCAAGCACATTCTTTAGCAGGATTGAAGACACCAAAGCTGTGGATAATAGTACCACAAGTGGCACTCAGCAACAGTCAGGCTTATTAGGTGTGTATGACTGACAGCTGATGATGCACTGGCAAGTATAATACCTTTTTGTAGATCCAAATATTAGTACATTTGAAGATTACACATCTACAATCTGAGTGGGAATCATTTCAGTCTGTCGAGGACATTGAAGGGCAAGAAACAAAGCAACAGGTCCAGGTACATGAGAGGTCAAAAATGTAGTAGAAAGGAATTGAACAGTACACCTCATACATAGATAACAATATAACAAGACATACATGCTTAACACATAAGCTATCAGTCCATGTATAATGTACTTACTTACCATGTAACATAACAATCTTGAAAAACTTGAATTACCTCCAGAAATACTGTCAGTGACCCAGATATGAAATGAGATTTTGGATGACTTTGGCTTCCATCAATATCTTATGGATTCCTTAGAAAATAATAAACTTACATGTTCAGTATACAAAGTATGAGTGTGTCAAGTTTTGTATTTTTTCACATTCAAAGAAGGATGCCAGAGACATCCCAATGGAAGGGTTGTTTTGAACATGAAATGAAACATGACAGGTATGTGACCCTGCCAAGCTTGAGGACTCCACATCAGTCTGCAAAGAGTCTAGGATAGGATGCTGAGCTGAGTTTAAATATTTGTCATGTCAATTCATCCCTCTGTCATTCAAAGCTTGCTTTCTCTCTCTTATATGCATTATAGATGTTAAAATCAAGCCAGATCAGTAGAGACTATGTACTTTCACTTACATAACAACTTTGAGAAAAGTTAGACCTATAACATGCTGACAATACACAGATGAAAATAGATAAAATAGCAAAATTTGACTATCCTCACAAGTTTGACTTTTGCTACTTTTTTTGGCTTCATGTACATAGAATCTGAGTTAAGGGATCTATGTATGATATGTCTGGCATTGCTGAAAATAATCTACAAAAGAATTGGAAGAGAATTGTGACAAGTATGTGGCCTTTACTCATGTCATTCCATATCTATCACATTTCATATCTGGGTCACTGACAGTAACCTGTGGGCCTTGCTTGGGCTTTTAATGCATAGTATCTATATACTATGTGATGACCCCTGGGAAAGTGGCTGTGCCTCAATCTTCCAACAACCTGGGAAGATTCCTTATGTAATGCTTATGTAAAATTACATAAGTTGGCTGGCTTCAAATTTTTGGCCTTTTCCTTTGGTGTGGTGGCAAAGATCAATCATTGCACCAAAATCACTCTTTCTTCTGACCTTTCTTTCCAATCTGAAGCATCAACCATTCTCTCTGCTCTAATACTGTGAGAATAAGCTTTGTTTGGCCTGATAGACTCTACTGACCCTCTTTTGGAGGTTTTTACACTTAACTGGCCATGTATGCTCTACTTTTTGTCATCTCCAATCACTGATCATAGCTGATAACCAGATTTCCACTATTGCATCCTTCTTCAGGCTTTTTCTGAGCATTGAGTAGCTTTCTCTTCTTTTGGGTGGGCTTCCTTTTCTTTGCTTAATTGTCCAATGGCTGATTTTGGTGGTTGTTTCTATATTAAAGCTGAATTGGGCTAGGTGTATTCTTTTTCTGAGTGTAACTTTTATGGACTAATCATGGCTGAGACCAGACTTCACTACATTCTTCATTAGGCTCCCTTTCTGAGTGTTCAGTAGCTTTGCAGGTATGCTTTTTCTATATTTGTCTGAGAACTAATTCAAGTATTATCCATTTTCTTTTCTAAACAGTTATTGGCTTTCTGCTTTTAAGGTAGATCTCTTTCAAACACCAAATTGCTAACCTCTGTGAATTTCAGCACCTAATGTATATGGGTTGACAGTGTAGTATAGATATTCTCAGTAGTTCTGGGACTTAGCATTGAGTTTGAAATACAAGGACCTAACCAAATAAAGTGAGGTTGGATCTAGGACTTAGCATTGAGTAGAATATAATGAAGTGAGGTTGTGTCTGGGACTTAGCATTGAGTTGACAAAATACAAAGACCTAACCAAACAAAGTGAGGTTGGGTCTGGGACTTAGCATTGAGTTTGAAATACAAAGACCTAACTGAACAAAGTGAGGTTGGGTCTGGGATGAAGCATTAAGTTTGAATTACAAGGACCTAACTGAACAAAGTGAGGTTGGGTCTGGGATGAAGCATTAAGTTTGAATTACAAGGACCTAACCAAACAAAGTGAGGTTGGGTCTGGGATGAAGCATTAAGTTTGAATTACAAGGACCTAACCAAATGAAGTGAGGTTGGGTCTGGAATGAAGCATTGAGTAGAATATCAAGAACCTAACTGAACAAAGTGAGGTTGGGTCTGGGATGAAGCAAGAGCTACAGGCCCGTGCCGAAGGCACGGGGCGTAGCTCGTTTCCCTTTATACCAGTGATCTATATTATGTAATTGATGGCGCCAATTTCACCAAAAATAAAAAATATATCTCTGTCAATTTTGACAATATCGAGAATTTGTCTTTAGGTTTTGTTCTACTCATAACAAGACAGATAGAAAAAATATCATGACTTGAGGGAGCCATACTATCTGTCATACTTTGGTGGTGACTAAGTGAACGACACTATAGCAAGTGAAAAAATAGGATACCCAGACCAGTTAACCTCTTCGCCTGGGAGTCGAACCCAGCTTTCGCGCGATTGGCAAGGCAGCCATGGCTTATGACAGGCGCGTGTACTAACCGATATACTAGCGAAGAATACAACTCAAGAAACTATGTTACATTAGAGTCCTGCTGGTTAGGGGTCTGTTTTCACCAATAGACAATAATTTTGTAGCACACAGAAAAACTTTTCAAGCTACCGATTTCTGACCTACTGCTGCACTCGTTTCCTTACAATTGGATTCAAACATGTTCATTGAGATTTACAAGTACTACAGGTCAAATCTACGAAACTTCGCGTAATACCTATCTAGCCAGATCTATCTATCAGCCATTGTGTACCACCACGGCCGCATAATCGTGTGAAACCCGGTTCGTAATCATATAATGAGCGCTCAGAAGGATGGGCAATGGGTGCGGTGGGGTGTGAACTACGTTGAAATCGGGACCGGAAAAAGTGGAGACTGGAAGGACAAGTAAAGCAGACTCCGATGAGTCGTTAGCAGATGACGAGGTTCAGAGAACACTAGTACGCTTCTCTATATGATTCTTCCTTTCGACTCTTCACACAAATTTAATCATCCTACAGCCCCACAAGACCAGCTTGCAAGAAATACACACGTGAAGGTCACAGGTAGGGCAAAAAACAAAGTGCAAAGACATGCTCGTGCCATTTGGCATTTTGCCACCGATCAACTTGGTGATGACAAAAAATGGCAATTGACAATTTGAGACAGGAGCAATCACCGACAGAATTGAAGCTAGAGGTATCTTCAGTGGACATACAAAGGACAAGATCAATTGTCATTGGCGCCCTTTGAGAAAGAAGCCGAAGAGACCAAACGCCTGTACAGATTTTCTAATGAAAGTTTGATAGGTTCTGAACAGCTTCGCCATAGAGTATGAAATGTAAGGTATTCCACAATCAGTAGACAAACAGGATAGTAAACAAGCTCTGAGGCCTGAGCGCTGAATGCTGAGTACAATATACATCACAAGCAACTCTTTGAACAAATAATGATGGGCACAATCCACCGATCTCACTTTCCTAGCCCGGTACCCTGTTGTATATATAGAGAAGCACAGATTAGAGGCTTTATCATACGAAAGAAATTTTGTCTATGATGTGAGCAATAAAAATACAAATCAAGTACAATACAAGTAAAGTACCCGGAATAAGATATTTTAAGGTAAAGTTACAGAGTAGGGGTAGTCATACTATGAAAAAAGATGATTTGAGCGTCCATAACAATAGATGATAAGCTAACCAATCTATATCTGTTCAGACGCGAGATTGTTCCCAGTGACGGCGACTCCCTCCTCAATAGCAGAGGGGTCTGGAATATGGTTGTCATGGATGAGGAGAGACTTTCCATCTTCTGACACCCGTATCTTCACTGTGTCTCCGTCCCTTGATGTTACGAACCCGTCAGCACCAAAAATGAGTTTCAAAACAAGCGAAAACCCACCGTATTGTGCCTCTCAGAAGCTTCTGAGCCATAGGGAACAGCACGTCCGTGCGTACAACACGAGCAATAGCCCTAGCACCATAAACTTGTGAATATCCTTGTTTTGCGAGCCATTCACGGGCATGGTCGTCGACGTCAAGGACGATACGGCGACCTTTTAGGCGGTCGGCGACGTCTTGAAGTCGAAGGGAAACAACCTGAAGGATAGATTTAGGCGAGAGTTTGTTGAAGACCAACATCGAGTCGAGACGGTTCAACAACTCCGGAGGGAAGTGCTCTGAGACGCGCTCGAGGACTTCGTCCCTTGCATCTGACTTAACTACGCCATTTTCATCGCAGGCAGAGTTGTGAGCGAGGATATCACTACCTGGTAATTCAATGGAAGTGAGATAATTATCGAGATAATAAACGCGAAAATCATACCAAGATTGCTGGTTAGGCAGATGATTGTGTTCTGAGATATGAATCAGTGAACAAACACAACATAAAAAAAGGGAATCAAATGAACAAACCTTAAAGTCAACCTTGCGGCCTTGACTGTCAGTAATACTGCCTTCATCGAGAATCTGAAGTAGTATCATGGCGACGTCCTTATGGGCCTTCTCCAGCTCGTCAAGTAAGATGACAGCTGAGATTTCAACAGGTAATTAATGAGCTAGAGAGACCTTGAGTAAAAGGACATACCGTACGGCCTTCGGCGAACGGCCTCCGTCAGCTGTCCGCCTTCTTCAAAGCCAACATAACCAGGCGCTGCTCCAATCAAGCGAGAGATTGTATGGCGATCATGATACTCAGACATATTAATGTTGATTCTATATACAAGGTGGAGTCTTTCAGTGGAACCGCGATGGAATACATGAAGGCACTCACAGTCCCCGCTGTTCATCGTTGAACAAGAAAGCAGAAAGGGCTTTGCAGAGTTCTGTCTACAAATGTACAATATGGTTAGAATAAAGGCATCAAATTACACAAGAAGGCCTACTTTGCCGACACCTGTTGGTCCCATAAAGAGGAACGACGCAACAGGCCGGTTGGGCGCCTGCAGCCCAGCACGAGAGATGCGCACTGCGTCACTGATGGCAGCCACGACATGATCCTGTCCCACAACTCGCCGGCGAAGTGAGTCTTCCATCTAGACACAATATTTCAGAACGACTCATGAATGAAGGACCTCAATCTACTCACATGCACCAACTTATCCCTTTCCCCCTTCAACAAATTCTGTACCGGTATGCCCGTAGCCTTCGCGACGACACGCGAGATATCGTTCGACGTGACACGATCATGCAACATCGCCAGCGGCGACTCCAGATCCTCCTGCGCCGCTTCGCCTTCCACAGGTAGCTGGCGCTCTAATTCCGGAATAGTCGAGAATCGCAGCCGGCTGGCAAGCTCGTACTGGCCTTGACGCTGGGACATTTCGAGCTGATGCTTCGCTTCCTCCAAGCGTTGCTTCAAGTCTTTCATGCGATCCAGGCGAGCACGCTCAGCTTGCCAGAGAGATGTAAGGGCCTCGGCTTCGCCCTTCTTTGTCTTGAGTTCTTCCTCGACTTTCACCCGCCTTTCAACGCTGAATACGTCCGTCTCGTTCTTCAAGCTCTCCAATTCGATCTGTAGTGTGACGATATCACGGTTGAGGGCTTCCAAGGCATCGGGCTTGGACTCTTGTGCCAGACGTAGAGAGGATGCAGCCTCATCGACCAAGTCGATGGCTTTGTCAGGGAGGAAACGATCGGAGATATAACGTGCACTATATACTGCAGCTGTATTTCATACAACTTAGATAACTTGGAAGAGAGAACACTGTATGGTGAGACGAACCCGTTACGAGTGCCCCGTCCGAAATCTCAACTCCATGGTGAACTTCGTACCTCGATTTGAGACCGCGGAGAATCGAGATAGTGGATTCGACAGTAGGCTCCTCAATCGATACTGGCTGAAAGCGCCGCTCGAGAGCTGCATCTTTTCCAATTGTCTTTCTATACTCGTCAGCTATGACATCGTGAGCTTGAATTCTCCAGGCAAAGGCAGAATAAAGGACATACGCGTTGTAGCACCTACGAGCTGTAACCCTCTGGCCAGGGCGGGTTTAATCATTTGACCAGCGTCAATGCTTCCTTCCGTCTTGCCGAGGTTGAACAAGGTGTCTAATCAATTTATCGGTACAATGCGTAAGAAGAAGATGAAGGAAGCTTGTTACTTACGGACTTCATCAATGAAGCATATAACTTTTCCTGCCTGAGGTCTTGATTAATTGACAAAGACTCTATAAATGAGAATGAAGAACCAACCTCGTCTTCAATGTCCCGTATGAGTGCCTTGAACTTCTCCTCAAACTGACCACGAATACCAGAGCCGGCCATGATTGCGGCTAGGTCAATAGAAAGTACCCGCTTGTCTTGCAAAGACTGACGATCCATTAGACGAGTACTGAACAGTGTTACATAAAGAAACCCTACCTCCGGGACCTCCTTGGCTACTATCCGAGTGGCTAAGCCTTCCAGAATAGCTGTTTTCCCGACACCCGGAGGACCAATAAGCTGTCATGGAAGTTATGTCTTGAATAACTCATTTCACGGTCAAGATGAACATACCACAGGGTTAGATTTGGTCCGTCGCGAGAGAACTAAAATATCATGAGAAGGAGCTCAAGGCCTGTTGGAAATAAACGTACTTTGTATGGTACGGCGGATTTCTGTAAACTAAGTTAATGTCCCATGATGCGGAACATTCCTTCACAAAACGTACCTTCGTCTCTGCCAATAATTGGATCGAGCTTTCCATTTTTCGCCATTTCAGTCAAGTCGACACTCTGATACTGGTCAGAAACCGAAGGCAATAAACCTGACGACACGCACGTATTCCTTCAATGCCTCCCCCTTCTGATGTTGAGGCCCAAAACTAAATCCCGGAAACCCTCCGCCCTTATTCGGAGGTTGTGATGCATAGTATCGAACGAGAGCAACAGGCGCTTGTATTCGACCTGTAATACGACCGAATGACCCTGCTCGCAGGGTGAGTCCTCGTAAGCCAAGGCGGACGCCATTTGGGGGTGCTTTTGAAGAGATAAGTCTCGTGAGATTTTTTGGATTTTGCGCTCGTAGCATGGTAATTCGGAAAGTAGGTTTCCGTCCCTCAGATTGGCATTTATACTCGGGTAGCGGAAGCAGAAAGTCGTTGAGACCACCAGGCCGTTCTCGAATTTACGGCGACTTACTCGGTCACATGCTTTTAACATGACGGATTTCCCTCGGCTCGGCTGTCGGGCCGGATAGAGGCACAATGCAAAGCAACTACCTAACACCCTAATGATATGGAATGGATTTTCTAAGACTCAGAAAAGACGGGTATCATGGCTCAGATCAACCCCTCCAGTACTTTGAAGGAACGAAGGGCATCGACGTCAATACGGCTTTCCTTAGCTTACTGCGGACATCAACCTCGACCTCCGTCCCCTTTTTGTGCCATCCAGATTTGATGTATCCCATGGCAATATTCTTTCCAAGAGTTGGGGATGGTATTCCAGATGTAACGGTACCTGTAAAAAGATTGACACGTCTTTCTGGAAGTAAAATAATGGTGTACTGACCGATAAGCTCTCCGCTTGACGGCGCGAAGATTTTGGCC